AATCACCAACATTATCTCAGGAGCACAATATTAAAACAACTTTAACCAGCTAAAAATATATATATAAAATAATTTGTGCTGATTTTTTTTTTTTTTTTAATCGAAGACATGTCTGGATTCATGGCTACAAGTAGCAGTCACAAAACGGGATGATTGTTGGCAATATTCGGCACGTTTTCTCTGGAAAAAAAACTTGTCAACGAGATTGGGTTGTAATGTCTTTAAGTGACGCCTTAATTCGTTTGGCTTCATGTTGTCCGATGTCTTTCCTCCCACCGTAGTCACAGTGAAGCCAAGAGCTACATACGCTTCGTCATTATTATTATTTACACATCTTCGCTCTCGATCGACCTCTTTTCTCCGTCTCTCTCTCTCCGTCTGTCGACTTCGTGTCTACACTTCAAGCTCATACTCTGTACCGTGTGCAAAGCGCGCATGCTCAGTGCGAACAGAACACCGAGCGAATGCTCCCAGCGCATTCTGCCAAGGTGAGCGCAACTGCCCCCGAATGTAGTCGAGGTGCAATTGCACTTTATTTTTGGACAGTTAAAAATAAATAAATAAATAAAAAAGCATGTTCCCCGAGGCCAAACGCGCCCCCCCCCCCCCACAGAGCCTCGCGCCCCACTATTTGAGAACCACTGTGTTATACAAATGATAGTCAGTTAAAGAGCCTTACAGTTGCTTTATTCATTTTATCTTATAATTGCGAGATACTCCATAATTGAAGTCCAACACTGCCTGTCAGAAGCAAACACACCCAGAAACCAAGACCCTTTACAATATTGGAAATGGAACCAGAAAACATATCCACATCTGCATCAACTTTCATTGAAACTCTCTGCTCACTATCGTCATTTGAACCATGTGAAAGAGTATTTTCTGAGGCTAGGGAGCTGGTGTCTCAGAGGAGAAATCCCCTTGGAGCAAAGACACTCCAAAAACTTTTGTTCCTCAATAAACATTCATAAACTAATCACTTTTTTGTCTTTTGTTTCACATGATTTAACAAAAAATTCTACATAAGTTAAAAATTGTAACTCTGAATTGTAACTCAAATTTGCTATATTTTACATACCAACTCAGTTTAGCACTTACACAAACAAGGAATTTCTTTACCTGCAATGATTTTATAACTACTGCAGGGGTCACTATTGGGTGACCAACACAGTGTCAATACAGTGCTGACACAGTTTGTGAAGTGTGCCAATACATTCCTTGAGGTATCATCGTCCCATCACTAATGGACAGTAATATTGTGTGAGAGATTATGTGTGAATAACTGCTCCAAGTGAAAAATGTTCATGTAAAATTGAAAATCGAAATTGTTATTTCAGTAAATATTTGCATTTTGCACATAGAAAACTGATTCATGATTCCATGTTGATGAGAGCATTAAAATGGGGAAAAATAGGACAAAAAAATATAAAAGGAAATTCAGAAACGATAAAAAATGCGTGAGTAATCACAATTAAGTTTTAGTGAATTTGAGTTAATTATGACAGTTACATTTTTAATTAGATTAAATATTTTAATCGT